AAAAAAACACAACCACAACCAACCAAAAAAACAAGACAAAATAATACAAATTCATTCCTGCATAAAAACCTGCCTTTATCTTGTCTCCTTGTGACAGTTTTTTCAGTTAATGGCCAGGCACACGATGAAGGCTGACTTGGCTTCTGAAGAAAGTCAGACATGGTAGCTATTACACGCATTTCCTTTCATGGGGATTTTCATATTCATATGGCAGAAGGGGAACGCTTACTTGCTTTGGGAAAAGTCCAGCCAATGACCAGGTTGCAGCTAAATCCCTGAAGACCCACCCCTGAAGAAGGGCTGAGATCAGAAAACAGAAAAAAGTCCCCCGTGCTATCTGCATTTGGCCCACCCATCAAACTTTCCACCTTTTCTCTTTCCTTCACTTGCAGCTTCCATTTCTGTGTGCAGTGGCTGCATACCCAAACCAACAATTAAATTCCCCCTTTGTTTGTGTGGCAGATGACAAATGCATGGAGGACATCTTGTGTTGCCTAGGCAGGCAGGGCACTTACTTTGATTGATGCTCGGTTGTGGAAAAAAATGAGCTGGGAAGGAATTACAATGGAGGGCCTGCAGACTGGAAGGGGATATACTAATTAGTCCTGCATTAAGCAGTCTGCTTGCATTTGGCGATGAGACGCCTTCAGGAGGGAAGTGTAGGGGTTATTGATGCAAAACAGCATGGAATGCATTATATCAGGTAGCTGTATATTAGTTTTGTTAGAAAGTATAGAAGTTTGTAATTAAGAAATAAACACTTAAGCTACTTTTAAAAAAAAAAAACCCTCAAGTATATTGGATAGGCCATGCTTTTTAACTGCCTGTGATCTCAAAGGCAATCTGCAGTCCTTCTGTCTTTCTGAAATAACTCTTCCAGAGTTTTCTCAGACTGGGTCAGGTGCTAGGAAGGAAAAAACTGCCACCACACCTACAGTCTCTGGCTCCTTTTCCCTGAAATCCCCACAGCTCCACAGCGTTGAGCCTTGCTGGTGGAGCAGAACCTCATAAAGAGAAAGGAAGTTTTCCTCTAGGCCACTCGTTAAGGTTTTAGAAACTTGTTGCTGATTGGACCCACAAAGAACCCTAGGGATATCTAAGACAAATTCAGCTCTTTCTCTAGACAAAGGGCTGGATTAAATGGGAATAAAGAGCAGTGCAAAGCATGCATCTGTTTGGTTTAGCATTCTATTTTTGGGGGGCTACAGGCAGAAGTAGAGTGGTAGGTGGCTGCACTGAAACCTCTCATAATTGAAGAGCCACACAGACACCATAGGTAATTGGAGTGTGTAACTGTGAGTGATCATCTCCCAAGTCTGTACCTCCTGAGCAATGGAGAACTGGAGGGAAGAGGAGGTGAAGACGCTCCAGTAATTACTAATGTGAATGGTTTAAAATTCTAACCTTTAAATGATGATTTGACCTGAAGAATTGGTGAAACTGGTTTTAAACAAAAGAAATCACAGAGATCTTTGGTGACAGTGTGAAAGAAGGGGCCCTAAAACTCCCTTGGTTTTACAGTTCCGGTGTAGTTTCACTAACCTACCATGTTGGCGTCAATAATGTGATTCTTACTGATTTCTTTCTGTTGAAATCCAGTGAACTATCAGTCATCTCATGTTAACTTAGTGGAAGAGTAGATGCTCTAAAGTTCTTGGTTCAATTTATCAGAGTTGTAATCCTGGTACAGCTGATATTCCTCTTTACTTTTCTTATTCTAGAGACAAGTTCATTTATGGATTTACAGATGCCTAGGCAAGGAAAAAAGATATAAGTGATAAAGATAGTATTTTTAGTTATCAAAGACTATTAAGTCTTTTTAAAAAACATTCTATCAAACTGGGGCATAAGACAGATATTTAAAAATCAGAAATATTATCAGATGACTACAACCTATCTTTCAGGACAGAACCAGGAATTGTGCCAATAGCTCTAGGAAGAAAAACTAAATAGTTAATGTGGTTTATTTTTTAACCATCCCTTTGTTTTAGAATTCTATCTTATTCTTGACCTGATTCTGTGTCGCCATGACCTTCTCCTGCCAAGAAGGCACAGTTGAGGCATCCTTCAGTAATAGCCTAGGGCTTTGGACAAGCAAGATGCTGTGCTGGCTTTTTGCCTTTTCTTCCAGTGTTTATACAACCAAGACTTATTACATGGTCTGTCATTTTGTTACTGGGCTGGCTTTGGTTTGAGAATTAGGTAAACATCAGACATTCCATCACACAATTTTAGACTCAATCTTACTTTATAATGATGTTAATGTTTATTGTACAAAGCGAGATGCATTTGTATATTTTAGCATTTTATTTCAGTCACAGAATGCAAAACCTGACACTGGAATCAGTTTGATTTTTTTTGTGTGTGATTGAAGATATTAAGCACTACAAGAACGCTGAAATTTCAATCTGATTAGGATCAAACTTCTTCAGGATCAAAACACTCTTTTTCCTCCCCCTACAGTTTTACTAATTGTGTGCTACTTGACATTGTGGAGTTATTCCACAGCATGATAGCTAAATATGTGAAGTGTATTTTACTATGCAGAATTATCAGCTCATTCTATTTGTTTTTCATGTGTTTAAGGTTATTAAAAGAACTCCAAATTAGAAGTCATGTGTATGAGTTAAAAGAATGAACCCAATCATTGTTAGTAGGCTGAATCATAAAGCAATAGCCAGTATGTCAATATCAAGTAATGAAAAAAATCAGAATTTGAAAGCATACCTTCTCTGTTTATTAGCTGGCAAGATACCAGAAAAATTAGGAGAATAGCACAATAGTGAATGGTGGAGTGGTTTATTTTCAGCACTCTCAAATTATTCCGGGTACGGAAAATGAGATAAAAGTAAATCGGAAAGAAAGGCATCAAACATATTTGTTGGAGACCTTTGCTTAATGGGGAGAAATGAACTGCCCTCGCTCACTGTTCCTGAGGAATTGTGTTTCTTCAAACTGTAAATCAAATCCCAGAGAGATAGCATGATGTTTTCCAAATAATAACTGAGGAAGACAAAGTTCTTTTTGTTTTTTTTTGTCAGCATCAGCTTTCTGAATTTAGACCTTAATTAAGATTCCAAAATGAGAAGGCATCCCCCTCTCCACACATGGTCTATGACAGTGTTCCTAAAAGCAATATATTCATTTGTGAAGTCTGGATCTCTAGCCTATATTATTCCGAAAATATATCCATGGCTTCTTCCAAAGATCCTGATTTTTTCTCCATTTTCTCTAAACTCTGAGTAACAAAGAACCTGATGTTTCTTTTGAGGAAACCACATCATTTTTTTCCCCAATTAATTGAAGAGCCATCTGCTTCTACGATACACAACACCCATTCATTCTCAGCAACAAGTGTGTTCCCTAAATCCCTGGTGTGCAGTATCAAGACACACGCTCCGTGTTGGGAGTAGAATCTGCTGTCTTGCAGGCAGACTCTTTCCAGAGACGTGGTGCATACACATTCTGACACTGAACTTGGTTTCATGTCAGTGTTGCTAACGCAGGGTTAAAAACACAGTACAGGATGTTCATACTTTAAGACGCTGGCTAGCTCAACATCTCCATGTTTCTGAGTTTGAAATGAAGAAATAATTGCAAAGGGCAGGAAAGATATGAAATAGCTCTCTTTGACCATGATAAGAAAGGGGAGAGGAAGTAAATACAAAGGCCACTTGGCTGGCTTTTTCTGCATAAACGCTTCAACTTTAGGCTGTACCATCTCATCTGTGGCACCCTGCGTGTACAGGCACGTGTTGTTTAATGATGGGAATACATTCTAAGAAATGCATCGCTAGGGTATTTCATCAGTGTGTGGATATCACAGAGTGCACTGACACAAACCTAGATGGTGTAGCCTACTATACACATGGGCTATATGGTATAGACTAATGCTCCTGGACCAAAAGTTGTACAGCATGTTACTCTACTGAATACTGGTAGGCAGCTGTAACACAGTGGTAAGTATTTGTGTATCTAAACACAGAAAAGGTGCAGTAAAAATACAGTATTATAATCTCATGGGACCACCATCGTATAGGTGGTAGGTAGTTGACCAAAACATGGCTAAGTAGCATGTGACTATATTTAAATTCAGAGGTCTGAACTGGGATTAGAACCTTCTAGGGACATAGCTGTGGGTGGGGTGGGGGAGTACTCATTTTTCAGGAAGAGTCTATTGAATGGTCATATAAAGGACCTCTGGTCAGAAGAGGGCCACCAGACCAGTGCTCTAGTCAGATCCCTTCCATGGAAAGAGTGAACAGCTAGGGCGGTTGGATGGGGGGTCCTGCACGATTCTGCTGGTGTGTCGCTGGAGCCAGCCACATCACTGATGCTCCTGCTTTGCTCACATGCACAGAAGGTCTTTTGGAGTTCAGCCTGTGGCTCAGGGGCTGGCAGCCATATTCAAAGAGCTGAGATAAGTTTCTCTTCCCCAGGAGTTGGAGGATGGAGATAGCTACTCTTCTGAATAACTCTCTTTCCAGAAACAGCGAAAACACTGCGTTCGAGAGCTGCTGTGTCCACACGACGTGTTCTGCCCCATCTCCCTGGCTTGCCCCTCACCCCAGTTTTGTGGCTGGTCAAGTAGGCATTTTTATACGGCTCTGGCTTATTTGAACTTGTCTTCTCCCACATGTATTTTGAAACTAAGACCACAAATTTCAGAGTGGAAGTTGCTCTCCAGAAAATGAAAGGGTCAAGGAAGCACTTAAGACAAAGGTTTCCCCACCACTTCATAGGAGAGACAGCACAAGACACCACAGAATTCTGGGCGAGTGCCTAAAGATCTAGCAATTTCTCTAGGCCCGAGGTCCAACTTTCAATCTAATTCTAACACGAGTTGAAATGATTGATGTCTCACTTTTTCTCACTGCACACTGACAGTCATCTGAAATGTACACAGGAAAGATGAAGGGAAAAATCAGCACTGAAACCAAACAAGCCTCAGAGAGAGCTGACACCAGCCGGGGTTATTCCCCCGCACAGGAGGTACTTACAGTCCAAGTGACTGTGCCTGATGCCCTCCACGTCTTCAGCATGGATGAAGTGGTAGCATCTCTTCCCTACGATATCTACAGGGGTCAGATCCATATAATCACTAATCCTACAAAGAGAAGAACACAGGCTGGAATTCAGAAAGGAAGAAATAGAAAGAAACTGTCAAATAACGTAGAAACAGATCTACTGACACATTTCATTATACTACTGTACCCGTGAGGAGGTGGCACTGTGAGGGAAGCCCTTTATAGATAAGATGATTTCTTTAACACGTAACCGTCTTTTTTCAAAAGTAGGAAATGTGTTAGATCAAGCGATTGTGTTTCAATAATTAGATAGGTTTTTCTTTCTTTGGCATTAAGAATGCACATTTAGACAACATAATTTCATGAAATTATTGAGAATCAGTAACAATGCAAGATCCTCATTACAGGCCAAGATAATTCAAGGTTACATAATAAAATAAAAACATGTTATGTTTATACCAAATGATTAGAGACACCTTTCATTTAAACAGATTGGTCTTCTATTGGGTATTTCCATGAAAAAGGGCTTCAGCAGCTTCTTGGCACAAAGTCCAAATTGGCATTTCAAGGGATATAATTTAAATGCTGAGACATACAGATGCCTGGGGGTATTATCTTTTTTAGTCTTAGTCATTTGGGAGCTCAGCTTCACTCCTGGCCCTTTTAACTGGTACTTTGTGGTGGATTCCGCACAAAAACTTTTAAACCATTTCAGCAGCTCTTCCAGGCTTGTGCTTGACAGTACGTGTGTGTAAGCCTCTGTCACTGATTGTCCAGACGTCGATGTCCTCAGGCAGAGCATGGAAAAATAGAGTCCAAATTGGAAAACATGTTGGGGGAATCTGCCTGGTTGACACAAACATGTCAACATGCTTGTTACCCTCCGTATTACCAAGTGCAGATTCCTTTTGGTCAGTCCAAAGTGGAATATATTTCTTGTTTAATTTATTCTCTTTACTCTTCATGCCTTTTTTTTTTTTTAAATTTTATGACTTATGGCATATGGTCTATTCAAATATGAAGTAAATCTTTAGAAATGACACATTTAAGAAACACATGTGATCATAGAGAGTTTTCTGGCCCCCAAGGCAGGGAAATAAGAAAGAAAAACAAACAAAAAAAGAAACATAATTAAAATATATTACCCAGTGAGTGAATTTCTCAGTGTCTAGCAATTCAAATAATATTTTTTGGCCGAACTAGGATTTTTGGTAAGATAAGATTAATTGGGGACATAAAATGGAGGGTTTTCTAAGGATTTCATGGGTTTTAGGTATGACACAGATTAGCTGGTGTTTTTCTAAAACCATTAGCTATCTTCCAAGCGCAGTTACACCCCCTTTCTGCAAATGAGGGAACAAGGATGTCATTAAAAGACCCTCCCTCACTGGTGTTTCTGAAATTTGCCAGCTCCTCTGAAAGCATTAGATGTCGGCTTTGCCTGAGGCCGTCCTTGGGAATGCAGAGAAGAATGGTCTGCAGAGTCAAGGAGCAAGCCTTAGTTTCTAGTTAACAATTCCCTAATTAAATAATAAACCCCAGGAAAAAGCCACTCCATTCTTCAGGGAAGGCATTTCTTTAGTTTATTCTTTTCTTGAATTAAATCCTTCAAAACGATCCAAGCCCTTCTCTGTAGCACAGCCTGTTACTGTGGTGAATGTGACTAGCCCGGTGTCTAAGGGTGTCTTAACATCTATCTCGAAAGCACCTGACCAGTTGGATGACCTATATCAGGATCAGAATCCTGATGGCATCTTTTACTCTGAGCCTCAGTTTCTTCTTCTGGAAAACAATCCGAAAGGTTGGTGAGGGGATGAATGAATGGAATGAAATTAACATCGCATAGTGCCTGGCACACAATATGCTTTTCCTCAGATCAAATATGCAATTACCTTTCATACAGGTATTTTTCATAATTACTATCATCTGCAGATGGGAAATAATGCTATATTGTATTGGCTAATAAAGGGGACTGTGAAAGCTTTTTTTTTTTTTTTTTTTTTTTTTTTTTTTTTTGAGGAAGAAAAACGCCAAAAGCAGGTCACAGAAAATGATCTCAATTACTAGAGTGGCACCATGAGGCATTCGGGTCCATGGAGCTTGTCAAAAGAATTAATGAGTTGATCACGGGAATGAAAATTAAGTGATGTTTTGGGATAGGACAATCATTGGAAGTTTGGTAAATAAGACGAAGCCCTGTTCTTTGGAGGGAGAGGTGGCTGGTAGCTAAATCAAGCGAGCTGACTTGTGTTTTCAAAAAAGCAAAGCCATAGTCCATCCTCTGACTTGACGTCTGTCTTCCCTGGTTGGATCTCCTTCTCCAGCATTCTACATTTTTAATTAGAGAAGAAATAGCTCTGTGGGCTGTAATTGGGTTCTTTCATGGGTACATATGTATGAAAAGTCCCCCTCAGAGGTTATTCTTTCTGGTCGCTTGCCATTCAGTCTGACTTCTGAAGAAAAAGAAGAGACTCCAGGGAGACTCCACAGGATGTAGCTAAGTACATGGCCTTTTGAATCTCTTGGCTGAGGACAAGTCAGTCAACGTTTCTCTCTTAGCTGTAATTGCCCAAAGGCAATGGAGACAGCAGCAGCACCTGCCTCACAGGACTGTCCTAAAGCTTAAGTGAAATCGTGCAGGTGATGAGCTTTGCACAGGGCCCGTGTGCAGTAAGTGATCAGTAAATGCCAGCCATCTTTATTAGGACCTGCCAACTTCAGCGATCATCCTGGCTAACGCATGTTCCCTGATGTTCTGTGACCCTTCCAGAATACCTTAGACATACCCATGATGTCACGATCATAAACATTTTAATAAATGCCAACAAAACTTGAAATGCAGATTCAGAGTTTCTTATCAAATAACAGCAACACGTTCATGAGATCTTCTACCCTATTGAACACTCATAGCTCAGGTATCTTTTCCCAAGGTGAATTCTTTCCTTTGAATCAGATCCTGGTCAGAAATGATAGACAGCTTCCAACTTGACTTCAACATCTTCAGTGCTTCCCGGTGGACTGAATGCAGGGGCTATCTTCTTGGTTAGTCTCTGGAGAGGTCAGTTCTCCAAGTCACTTGACCAATCTGCTCTTAAGTTTCTCCTCTGAAGGCACTGACGGGGCTCAGTGAACAAGCCTGACAACAGTGCTGCAAAAGCATCCTCTCCAAATTGATGCAGTAATTCTCCCTGTGGCACCCGGGGAAGGATAGTATTGCCAGAGCTTCCTTCACACACCTGGTATGTGGGCAGCTCCTCTCCACCGCCCTCCCTGCACCCCATGGTTTCCTCTTCAAATCAGTCTGATGATGGGCTGCTGACTTCTAGGTGAAAGGTCTGAAGGGGCAATGTCCCATTTCCTTGTCCCTTGCTTTGTGCTTAATGGAAAAAGTGAACTTTTTAACTAGAGGCTAAAAAGTCCTTTTATAAAAGCTTAGTCTTGAGGAAGAACTGCCAACTCATTTATATGATGAGTCATCTTTTTCTTAATTTATAAAAGTGAAATCCTCAGGATGACAAAGTTTTATTTAATAGCTTTGCAAATTTCTTTTTCATCCTTTTTCCTCTGTGGACCTCAGATTCTCATTTGTTCTTTCCGTGCTTAGCGTCTGTGTGAACACTGACCACTGTGAGGCCGGGCCCTCGAATTAGGCAGAAGTGGGTGCCACTGAGGCATCAGGCAATACATTTTACTGCATCATTTTGCCAATGGCGTCTGAGCCCTGCTTTCTTCTTAGGTTCTCAACCAAAAAGGGCCTTCTTTATACCATATGGATGTCTGGGTATCCCGATTCATTTAATTGTTGTCCCTAACATAAATCAGGGCAGCAATGTAAATTTTAAATAAAAAGCACATTTGGTGTCAGTCCAAGTGGCCATTAAAAACATGATCAGGATTTAGAATGAGCCTCACTGGGAGAGTACCATCCTTCAGACGGCTGAAACACAACCCTCACCAATGTGCAACGTGCAACAGGGCAAATGAAAACAAAAACAAAGTACCTATTTTCACAGTAAATGATATTGAGGTCCATATTTACTCGAGTGACAAACATATGGCAGTCAATTCTGACTTCATTGATCGTCGGGGGAGGCAAGGCATGCGCAACAACCACGAGACCCATGATTTGGCTGGGGACGGTCCTCCCGTGGGACAGCGACACTCTGAGGCGTAGCCGGCCTGTTATGTGAATCACCTGTAAAAGAACATTAAGTACAGGACAGCAGTCAAATTTACATCCCAGATATAACAGCATTTCTTTTAAGAAATGCAAAATTACATCTGGAACAACCAACATTAGCTTGTATCTTCTGTAATCATAATGGCTGTCGGCATGCCCTCAGCGTCCTTGTGGCAAGAGACAAAAAAGATAGTATTACACTCCAAGCATTACTCAAGGCAGCATTCTTATGGTGCTGTTGCTATTTTTAAAGGACTTTTTTTTTTTTTTCACATTAAGGGAAAACTCATAACCAAATAAAATGACCAAAAAGTTGAGCACTGAGCTGCAAAAGGACATGCATTATTAGCCCTTATTAATGGACGATGTCTGTCTCTCTCCAGGTCTGTACTTGAGTGGGATTATATGGCCATCTCCTTTCAGATGTGTGGCTCTGAGCCTTCCTTCATTCAGGGGTTGATATTGCAAAAGGCCAAATACTCCAATGAATAAAACTCTCGGTGGCAATGACATGAATGGGTTCTTTCGAGGATAGATATTTCCTGTTAGGCAGCACTGAATTCCCAGTGATACAGTGATTTATTGCAGTGCCCTATGGGGTTGATGGTCAGAGGACTTTGGCCCGTGATTTGTCCCTGGAGCTCATACTAAAGTAGGGTCAGGAAGACTTGAACCATCTTAGTGGCAGCACAGAGGTATTTGCCTGGAAATAGGAAGGAAAATATTGGGCTGTAATTTTCAGTTTCTTGGCCAAAATAGTCCAGGCCACCCGGAACCAAGCAAACCTCTGCATATAAACTGCACATAGATGAGCCATAGTGACAACTTTCTCAAATGATGCTCTGGGGAAACAAAATCATAAAAGGGTAAAAAATAGGAAGGATTTGTGCCACTATGCCTTAGGTTGCAGAGGGAAGGGCTGGGTTGGGGGGGGGGGTGTGCACACATGTGCATGTCAACTCTAGCTGTGTTCCCAGGACCCTGCTACAGTGTGGGGAATCCTCCAAAGCATGTGAAATGGAGATACTGCCATGATTGACAGTACCATGGAGCTCAGTTTACCAGCTGAGTTTCCATATGTGCTTTACTGCTCCAAATGCATCACCGAGTGCCAAACTATCTTGAGATTCTACTTTTCCCCCTTTGCTATAAGGAACTGGAGTGGGAAGTAGGTCTCTTGCTTCCCAGGAACAATATGATCTAGGTCTGCTTTCCTTCCTGGGGCTCCACTGGCAATTCCTTTTCCATTTTATTTTTGTTTCTTTTACGTTACTTGGTTTTCCAATAGTGGGCCCACACTACTGTCAGTCAGGAAGCAGGATCAAAGCTTACAGGGCTGCCCTTCAGAGTCCTGGCTGTTTTAAATAATACCTTTTCCCTGTCATCCTTCACATTAGCGCCCACAGCTGTGGATCTGGAAGCACCAATAAGGAGGATTATTTAGGTTATTTCAGCGGCAGCTTTTCGACCACCCACATTTGAAGTTGACTAAATTCATACTTAATGCACCTTTGCTTTAAGCTTTGGTCAGATGAGCTACTTTATGAATATTTGAAAATGTTCCTAGAGGCAAGGATGCTAAAACACCATCACAGACACACATTTTTGCAAGACCTCATTAACTAATAAAGAAATAGCTAAAAGAAATGGGATTAACTTCACAGGAGGGGTGTTAACAGTCCCTGGTCCTCCTCCCAGCTAGGCTTACATAGATGCTCATTTATCATTATCTGTCTTGTTTTATCAGGAACACTCAGCTTCTTGGAAAAACACAGATCTATAAATGCTCAGGAAAACACACATCCAGAAATGATATGCTAAATAAATCCCCACTTGGTATTCTATTCCAAAGCAATTTAAAGGCGTCTGGGTTGGAAAACATTTGGGGAAGGCAGACAGGCTACTGGGAGGGAGCTGTCGGCATGTCACATTGACCTGGCCTCTGATCTCCAGCTTTGCCTGTGGCCTTCATGGTATTGAAGGGGGTCAAAGTTGGGTCCAGTAGGAGTCTAGACTTGCAATTTTCTGATTCTGTTACCACCGGCAAGTCACGCAGCCTCTCTGTGTCTCAATTTTCTTTTCTGTGAAGTGGAGCTAATGGTGACTATAAACTGTAAAGAATTCTACACATTTAATTATTATGTCTCTGTTTGCCTTTAAAAATATCGACCAGTAAGGACAAGGACCAAGTATTAATCTGGTGTTGTTCAGAAGTCTAATAAATGACTTACTATTTTAAAGGATCATAAAATTTCACATTTGGAAGAAAATTTGGGAGGGTCTATCTTCGCTCCTTTCCCTTTTTATTTTTAGGTGAAGAAGGAGACTCCAGAAAGCTCATCCCTGCCCAAAGTCACCTAGCTTGTAAATGGCAAATAGTGCCTAGAACCCAGGTTTCCATGTCTTATTTAAGAGTCACTTCAACTTAGTTATACCTGTGTGCGTATTCACAATGAATGAAACATTAGAAATATATACCAGATGCCAATTTATTAAGTAAACTGTATATGAACTTTTGAGAAGATTTCATTTATAACTAGAAGCTCAAGTTATTTGAAAAATCTTTGAGAAGTAGCATAAACTAAAAAGAAAACTAAGAAAATTACCAAAGTAGTAACTAAATAGTTGTCAAGAAATGTCAAAGAACAATCAGAGGGTGTGTTTGTCTGTCTGTATGTACCTGTGGGTTTCAGGGAGGGTGGAATTGAAGAGAAGAAAGGGATATCTGTTAGATCCCACAATTTTTAGGTTTAAATTAACATATTTTTTCCAAATTCATTTCATAATGCCAACAGAGCTTTTTTTCCCCAGCTGACAGGTTATGTTCAGATTTCAGAAACATGTCTGACAGCATGTATCCAAACATGTAGACAGCTGGATTTCTCATTTTATAGTTGCTTTTAAGGCCTGAGATGTACAGAAAAGAATATTGTCAAGATGGCCTGTGTTCAAATCCTAGCTCTGGCACTTAATAGCCACACAACTATGATCCTAAGACAATTGAAATGACTTGCTTTGTTTCCAGGTTAGTATATCAAAGATTTAAAACCTAGAACAAAAAAATAAGTACACTGCCAATATTTTTTTTTTTGAGATGGAGTCTTACTCTGTAGTCTGGGTTGGAGTGCAGCAGTGCGATCTCAGCTTACTGCATCCACCATTTCCCAGGTTCAAGCAGTTCTCCTGCCTCAGCCTCCTGAGTAGCTGGGATTACAGCCATGCACCACCATGCACAGCGAATTTTAGTATTTTTAGTAGAGACTGGGTTTTACCATGTTGGCCAGGCTGGTCCTGAACTCCTGACCTCAATTAATATGCCCGCCTTGGCCTCCCAAAGTGCTGGGATTACTGTGCCTGGCAGTTCTTTTTTTTTTTTTTCTGAATAAAGTTAACACAAGGTATTTTCCTGGTTCTTTAGTTTCTAAAACACATAATCTATGAGGCACCTTGCTAGGTGCCGGGAAGCTGACCAAGGTAAATCAAATGTAAATCTGTCCTCAAAGAGTTTACAGACTCTAAGTTGGGGGGGGTAGGAGGAAGACATCTATAATTATTTCTAATACGGCCATAAGAGGGAGATGATTCCATATCTGATCAAGAAAGTGGGTTTTGATCCTGGTTATGTGACGGAGTCACTTGTGAAGCTTTGTTAACATGTGAATTCCCAGACTCTTTCCCCCAGAGTTCTAATTTGATAGGAATGAGTTAGGGTCCAGGATTTGTTTGTGTTTTAAAACTTCAGAGGTGATACTAACTACCTGAGAATATCTGGCAAATGGGTTTGGAGTTACACCAGTGGTTCTCAACCATGGCTACACATTGGAATCAACCAGGGTGTCTTGAAAAGTCCCCCTGTCCAGGCTGTACCTGAGAGTTGTTAAATGTGGATCTCAGGTGTTGGGGCAGTGGCATCAATATTCATAGACATTTTTATAGTTTTCCAGGCTGGGCATTGTGGCTCACACCTGTAATCCCAGTACTTTGGGAGGCTCAGGGAGGAGGATCACTTGAGCCCAGGAGTTCAAGACCAGCTTGGGCAACATAGGGAGACTCCCATCTCTACAAAAAATTAAAAAATGAGCTGGGCATATTGGTTCATGTCTTTGGCCCCCAGCTACTTGGAGGCTGAGGTGAGAGGATTGCTTGAACCTAGGAGATCGAGGTTGCAGTGAGCCATGATTTCACCACTGCACGCCAGCCTGGATGACAGAGCAAGATCTTGTCTTAAAAAAAAAAAAAAAAAAAAAATCCAAGTCTTACAGGGCTGATTGGAGGGAATGAAAATGTGTGCAAAGTGCCTTGGTATAATGCCTGATATGTAATATATGTTCAACAAATACTGTTTGATTAATTAACAAGCATGTTCCATAAGAAAGATTTGGAATAAGATCTTCAGGAGTTCAGGGTAGGAAGAAAATACTTTCAGCTGAATGGATCCAGGAGCATTTCAGTTGGTGTCAGCAGGAGAAAAGACAGAGATGGGGCCAAGGTGGCAGGTACAATCAATGGAAATTGGCAGTGGGACCTGAGGAGGAGGGCTGGTATCATAATTTTTGTGCCTGTCCCACAGGATGATGATGACAATAGACTAAATGGTAAATGGTAACTAAATGGTAACCAGTGGAGACAAAGATGATTTCCCTGTGAACAGTCTGTACTCAGCAGCCTGGGAAGATCCTGGAGAAGGTGTTCAGGGGATAGTTGAAAATAAGAGTTAGGCACTTAAGTGATGACAGTTGAAGGTATAGTTCTGGAAGGTTATTTTTTTTTCTTCCTGGAGGTGATAAGTAAAACCAAGAAATTCAATAGAATTGCCAATGGAGAAAACATACATGAGTGCCAAAGGCATTCTTCTCCACTTTGAGTAGCTGAAGCCTCAGGCAACTTATGTTTTTGTTTTTTGTTATTCTCTAAATTGTCCTCTTGCTCTATAATAATTTCATTAAAAAGCCAGAACATTTCTGAAAGCTCTTAAGCACCCTTTTTCTCTACCCACAATTCCATTCTAACATAAA